CATCTACACTTAGGACATTATTGAATTCATCCCCATTACACATTTCAAACGACTGCTACACAGATAAGATTGTCAGAGAACGCGCCGAAATGAACTGTTGTCTCGAACTGCGCCATGCTGTGGGAAGATGTTGAAATAAGCGCACAAAGTTGGTGAGGGCAGATCGCAGAGACTTGAGCTGGATTCGAGAGACATGATGAATCGAGACCGGAGACGAGAGCTATACTGAGACGGTCAAAATTCTAGTCTTACTTAAAACGACTATCACGAGTCCGGTCTGCAAAAGAGACTAAGTCTCTGGGATCCGGTTCCAACACGACTGAGGAACGCAGAAGTTGATCCCTGCACGCTCGTATCGTTGCCTGGATTGTGCTCCTGCTTTCAATCCCAGTGTGAACCACGACTCGCGACGGATGGAAAGGGAGGGAGGAATGGGAAGTTGAGCTATAGCGTGTATGGCGACTTGTCAAGTCGGTTCGTTTTGGCTCAGTCACGCAACCGGCAAGCCCCTACTGTCGCAGCCGAGCCAATCAGTCCTTGGGTAAGCGCTTGAATAAAGATAGAAGAGTTGGTGGAAGCCTTTCTTCCTATGTTTCACAGGGCGGAACGCAGCAGCTGAGGTTTAAGCGACGTGACAACTGGTGATTACAAGCGCGATATCCTGCGAAGCGTTGATCACGCATTGCGAATGACCAAAATGCGATGCTGAGCGAATAGCTGGAACGAAAGCGTCCTCACCAGGAGATAGCGGGAATATTTATATCGATAATAGAAGCTGATCCAAAGCTCTTGTCTTCTGCTATCATGTTGACCGTCGCAGTCATCGCAGCCGGTATGCAGTCGTTCTAGCAATTGGAGACGGCTCGCCGACGCTTGCATTGGCAGGAGCTATGGGTGCAGGAGTTGGCAAGGTTCTCACACGCAACGGCGTGAAGGTCTTGACCAATTTGGACAATCGGTCCAAGGCAACCCGTGAACGCGCTGTCGCAGCTGGGATGGAACACGCGTCGTTCAAGACAATCGGTGCTACATGCCAATGGGTTCTCTCTATTCTACCACCAAGCGACGCATACGCTCTTGCCGAACGGTTTCTGGCAGAATCGGTAGCCGAAGGAGCTGAAACCCCGACCTTTGTCGACTGCAACGCCATCAACACGGTCACCGTGCACAAGATCGCTCAATTGTTCCAGCATACTCCGGTCAAGTTCATAGACGCGTCCATTATCGGTGGGCCGCCACAAAACGATGGGTATTTGCCAACAATCTACGCCTCTACGCACGATCTTCCTCTTCTCGAACGCTTCGCCAGTCTCTCTGATCATGGGCTCAAGATCTCCCTGTTGAGGGGGGAAGGTGCTGGGATCGGAGATGCCAGTGCACTCAAGATGTCGTACGCAGTGAGAACGAGTACATGGCTCTACGTCTTCACCATTCCCTGAAGCTTTCCAGGGAATCTCCAAGGGTGCAACAGCTCTCTACGCAACAATGATTCTAGGTCAGTAACGACTTCGAAACCCGGTTTCGCACAACACACTTACCCACTCTTTTTAGCTGCTCATGAGGTGAATACTTCCAAGAAAGGACTGTTTTGAAACCACTGGAACGACTTCCAGGCATCTCCTGCCACGGCAGATGCTCTAGTGAGCGAAATGCACGCTTCGCAACCCGAAGTGTTGCGACGACTGACTAACAGCATTCCACCCGTGTGTTGGCATTCACTCCAAGTGGAGTTTGTCGTTGACTGATCCTGTCAGATGGTCGACAAGGCCTATAGATGGGTCGGGGAGATGGAAGAAATCTCTGAATTTGTGGGTGGAGGTTCCGGTGAGATATATCAGGGCATGGCCAAGCTCTACTCTCGCATCGAAGCGTCCAGAGCTGGAGATAGAAAGGACATTGAAGTCCTGACTGATTTCGTGACGAAGGCGAAGAAAAGATTTTGAGGGATCTAGTGTTGTATTAGATCAAGGCTTGGACGTGTGAAGGCGAACGGATCAATTGGTTGCGTCTATTTGCGATCGACCTCGTTTTCTCTTGACGGGTAGTCGCTTTGCGGCGTCTCCTGCTTATCTTGGCGCACCCCGAGCTCCCACATCCTACTGTTTATGTTCTTTTTCTGAGCCCTTGACCGATCAACATGTCTGCGACTGAAATTCTCCCTACTCCGCCTTCTTTACCTCGATCATCTGCTACTTTCAGCACCATTCCTTCCATTGCTGACCGCAGCCCTTCTAACTCTCATTCTTCGCCCTCTTCGGCCCTCCGCAATCCACGCTCGATGAAAAGCTTGAATAGCTCGGTCTCCTCGTCAAGGGAGACGACGGAGGAATGGGGGTCTAATTTCTGGGTTACTCTGGTAGATCCTCAAGTGCGTTAACGTCTATTCCTGGTGTCATGGACGAATCGTGAACATCGGGAACAGACTCAAACATCGTTTTTCGCTTGTCCGGCTACGGGGCAGGTCAGTTGGGACCCTCCCGTAGGGAATTTCGTGTTACCTCCTAGTGCCGATGGCGAATGGTGGGAGTTGAGCGACGACTCCCGTGGCGGACTTTCCTACTACTATCAGACTAAAACGGGAGAGACTGTATGGGATAGGCCTGCGGGATTCGTCATTCCTTGGGTATAATACAGGTGCGTCGTACGTGGCGGAGATAACTTGCACCGGCTAACCGTCCCATAGAACACCGCTCTCGGCCGACGTTTATCTCAGACGGCCTCCTCTAGCCGATTTTCCAAACCTGAAGACGGGGCTGCTCCTCTCTCGCGAGCGTCTTACCGAAGATCCAAGTCGTACACGGGACCGCTACAGGCTTATGCTCATTCCGACATGGACCGCTCGTCTGCGAGTGATCGAAATGCCATTTCGCGTCTATCACACCTGCATTCGAATTTACCGCCCATCCCAGGCTCGTCGCCCGACAATACAGACGTTGCCTCGTCGTCCTCATCAAACAAATCTGCCTCCGTCACTCCAAACGGATCGAAGAGACCCAAGGAGAAGAGTAACTCACCCGGAAAGCCGAGATTAGCGGGCGCTGCCCCAAATCTTGACCCAAACTCGCGCATTCGTTCCAAATCATCGTCCTACGTCTCGCACCGATCTCCCCATCCGCAAAGTCTTAATGCCGCCGTTGAGATGTTAGCGGGCTCTCAGTCCGATAGTGGGCACGGATCGTCGAGACAGCCGTCTGGACAGAGTTCCAAGCTTGTTTCTCCGCAAACACCGACGCGAGAACGGACCAAGGCGCCGCCCTCGCCGCGAAGGCCAGTTCCGGCAACTCCACCTTCTCGGACTGTCGCTGGCAAAGGAATCAGTGCGCCCGTACCCAATCACGGTGAGAGTCGCCTTGTCAGCTGTCCATCTCTTTTCTTAACATCGAACAGCGGCGACTTTGGAAATGAGCCCGGTCAAAAACCGTGCTGGGGGGAAACCCATTCTCGTGGGCCCGAAGATCTCCACCCCCAGTGTTCGCTCGTCACCTCTGCCATCAGGGTAAGTCTATTTTGGTCGCGCAACGTCTGGCATCTGACCGTCTGTCTCTGTTCACAAGAACACATCCCGTCCTTCCATCCGAACTCGTGTCGGATATACAACAATTTTCGGAATCAGACTTTGCCCGACGTTACTTCTCTACTCATCGGACCGGATTTATATTTAGAAGGCGGGTTCCCGTTGCTCAACTGATGAGCTGGCAGAAGGTGCGTACCATCCAATCAGTCCGACTGCTGACATGCACTGAAACTCGACAGATCCCGCTGGCATCCCCTCTTCTGACATTGCATCGCAGCCTCAACAGGGACGCGGTGAAGATCTTCAAAGTGATTCAACACATAATGGGCGATCGCGAGAAAGACAGGCCAGTCGGGGTTCGGTTGGAGACCGAATCTCCTTCCGTAGTAGCACCCATCAACGCGTCTACAACCTCGTTGAACATCAGCACGGTGGGGATCATCGAGGAAGAGCGTTGGCTCCTGGGTGAAGGCCTGAAGCATGGCGAATTGAGAGACGAGATTTACTGCCAGGTCATGAAACAACTGACAAACAACGCCAATCCGTTCGTTTTGTGGATCCCTCTATTGCGTCATGTATTCAACTGTTTCTTGCAGGGAGAGTGTTTTCAAGGGCTGGCAACTGCTATGCGTGCTGCTCATCACCTTCCCGCCTTCCAAGAATTTCGAAGCCTACCTGCAATCTTTCATTCAACAACGAACCACCCAGCCGGAGGGTCGTGTCGATGTCATGGCCAAGTTCTGTCTCAAACGGCTTTCGGTCATCTGCAAAAAGGGCCCCCGCGGCAAACCACCGACACCCGCAGAGATCGAGACAGCCTCGGTTCGCACACATGCTCCATCACTCATGACCGACGTTGACACTCGCCCCAGGATGCTGCTTTCAATCCTTCCACGTTCGGAGAGTCTCTTGACGCTGTCTTTAGGCTGCAAGAGCGGACGTATGGCAACCAGAAGGTGCCCATCATCTTGCCTTTCCTGGCGGATGGTATCTTGGCGCTCGGGGGCAGCAAAGCCGAAGGAATATTCCGTGTCCCCGGCGACAACGACTCTGTTTCCGAACTTAAATTGCGGATCGACAAGGGATACTACACTCTGGACGGCGTTGACGACCCCCATGTTCTTGCCTCGCTCATGAAGTTGTGGTTGCGAGAACTGTGCGATCCTCTGATCCCTGAAGAGATGTACAACGAATGCATATGGTGTTCAAAGGACCCGGCGTTTTGCGTGCGGATTATCGAGCGTCTACCAACCCTCAACCGCCGGGTGGTGCTCTTCGTAGTCAGCTTTCTACAGCTTTTCCTGGAAGATAGAATCCAGGCAGCGACCAAGATGACGCCCGCGAATCTGGCGCTTGTGATGGCTCCCAACCTGCTTCGCTGCAATTCGGAGTCGATGTCTGTTGTATTCACCAATGCCCAGTCAGTGTCGTCTTCTTTGTCGGCCGTCTATTCTTTCTTACTGTGTTCCAATCCAGATACGAACAAGTGTTCGTGTACAATCTCCTACTCCATCTCAAATGCGGGCAAATCGACCAAGGCTACAAGCCCGCCCATGGGCTGGGAGCAGTTTCAGACGGATCGCCGCCTCGCAAGTCTCGCTCCCGACGGCCGACTCACTCGTAGCATCCTCCCTATGTAGCACACATACCACCATACCACTCACCCACTCACGATACCTCTCCTTACCTTCATCTATCTGGGGCCACATTCATTGCATGTAGCATATATCTCTATACGCTATCGCTTCTCCGGAATCATAATGCTGTAATACTACCATTTGTTGAATCCCCAATCAACGTCTTTCTCCTCGTCCTCCCCTTTCCAGCGATTCCACGGTGATGATCGCTTGCGCGACGCAGGATTCCTCGGGGAAGCGGCCATCTTGGAAATGAAGCCGTCGATGTTGGACAACATGTCCCACACACCTCGGGAACCAACTTCGTTTTCTTCGATCCACATACTCTTGTCGCTGACGTCCCTCCGCACTCCCTCGGCCAGCGCCAGGGTCTTGCTGTCCATGTCGACCCCGTTCACAGACATCTCGTCCAGAGCATCATGGACGCCTTTCAGGTCTTGAAAGCATTTCCAGCGCGTGGTGATCAGCTCGTTGTATGCCCTCGTCGAGCACCCGAACACGTACGAAGGCACGGACATCTGCCGTGCGTAGTCGAACATAGACAGTGCCAGGTGAGGATCCCGGTATTTGTCGCGGAAAGTTTGCATCAGGAGCGCGATGAGGTACGGGTAAGCGGGGGGTTGGAGGTCGGGCAGTTCCTCAGCATTTTCCGACCGCGCCTGTCTAAACGCAGCTTCGTACGACCGCGACTCTTCGAAGACCTCCTGCAACGCCCAGGTCAAGAGCTCCTGGTCATTAGTGCACCCATCCATCTCCTCCTTTTTCCGGTCCAGCTCCTCCTCGATCTCCGCAGTGGGTATTGCTCGTCGCGAGTGCCGCCTGAGCCTCCCGAATAGCTCGCCCATCCCCGACCCCGCGATGTCCACCGGCGCGGAGGGACTGGATCTCGTGTTCTTCGCCATCGCTTCGAAGATGAGATTGAACACCTCGTTGAAGGCTCGGATTTCCTGCGCGGTCATCGTCTTCCGTCGCGCGAGTCGCGGGCCGGTGCCTCCGCTGCCGATGTTCGTGCCAAGGTGAGGGGGGTCGCGAGGGAGGTCGGTGTATACGTTGTCCCATTTGTCAGCCGCGGGAGCGACGCTGCACAAGCAATGAATGTCTGGTAAGTCTAGACACAACACAGGGAGCGCACGGCGTCGAAAAAGTTTCTCGTCTCCTGCACGCACTGTCCGAGAACCACCTTGAGAACGTCGGCAAGCGTGACGGAGGGGAGATATGTTGAAGGACCGTTTGAGAAACATGTCTTATGCGCGAAGAGACGCGTGAGGGACCTGCTAGAACGGACATCGGTCCAATGATCGAAGTGCTTGACAAAATTGGCAGGCGCGAAGGATGTTACAGTACAAACAGACCCAATCACTACACCTGCAATCTCTAGAAGGTAATAATCACGAATGTTGTTATTTTTGACAATACCACGACCGTACTGTATTGATACGGTATTTTTTAATTAGGAGTTGGTGAACTCCGCCTTTCGCTTCTCAGAAAACGCAGCCATGCCTGTCATGGGATTGAGTGGTATCATTCAAAATCAGAGCTTATAGAGTTTCAAACCTTCTTTCTGGTCACGGGTGGCAAAAAGCCCATGGAAAATGCGCCGCTCGAACCGCAGACCCTCGGCGAGATTGAGTTCGTACGCTTTGAAAGCATTGACTGATCAATCCGAGCTGGCAATGAAGGCACATACCGGCATTGACGACCTCCTTCGCTGCCTGGACAGCGATCTGGCCTTTGCTTGCGATCAAAGCAGCCATTTCGACTGCTTCTTTGACGACCTGCCCTTCTCCGTCGCCAACGATTCGGCTGACTATGCCCCACTGCTCGGCCTCTTGCGCCGAGATATTACGCCCGGTCAGGACCATTTCCATCGTGCGAGACTTGCCGATGATCTGTGCTAGACGCTGGGATCCTCCACCACCAGGAATCACGCCGAGGTTGATCTCCGGCTGCCCAAATTTGGCGGTTGGCGACGCTAGGATGATGTCGCACATCAGAGCCAACTCGCATCCGCCTCCGAGCTGCGCGACGTTGGTTCACGGAATCATTGGGGTGTTAGCATTACGCACCGCGTAGCCGCTGACGGCTGCGATGACGGGTTTGCGCGTCTTGCTCATGAGCCCCCAGTCCTCCAGGAAGCGGTTCTTGAAGACGTCCGCATCTGCGCTCTGAGTTCAGGACTACGCATATCGGGCCTCGAATGTGCTCACATTCTTTGTCTTTCATTTCCTTGATGTCTGCCCCGGCTGCGGACGCGTCTTGAGCTGCAATGCGACGTGTGGATATTTATGACGTACCGGCGAATGCCTTCTCTGAGCCGGTCAGGACGATTGCGCCAACGGAATCGTCGCCATCTGCCTCGTGAAGGGCGGCATTCAGCTCCGCGAAGAGCGGAGACGAGAGTGCATTGAGTGCCTTCGGACGGTTCAAGGTGATGAGCGTCACCGCAGACTCGGGACGGGACACGAGGATGTTGGTGTAGGACTGGGTGGTGGACATGAAGCGCGCGTGTTTCGACCGAAGGGTCGACGTTCCAGACCCTTTATATAGAGGGAATCTTCCGAGGATTGTGAGGCGTATGGTGGTGGGCCTGATGAAGGAGGTCATGGGTGTGTAGCGTCTTGGATCACACCCCGGAGCAAGCTCGATCGTGGGTAGTTGTCCGGATCAACGCATGCTCATGTCCGAAGCACGAGGCTCCAGTGCGCTGCCACAACATGTAATCAGTCCCTCGCCTTGCGCACTCTTATCGGCATGAACATGACTCCTGACGAGACGAGAAGCGACGAGGGCGTTCCCGAATTCCATCCGTCTTTCTGTGCGCCAGGTGGCGACATCATTCTGTCAGCCAAGAATGAGACGTATTTTCGATGCCATTCGTATACTTTGAAGAATACTTCAGGCTGGTTCAACGCCATGCTATCTCTACCGCAAGCCCCAGGCCCACCCTCTGAGGCCTCCGTCGAGACGATTGTGCTGCAGGAAGATACAGGTACGCCCATATCTCCATCATGAAGCATGGGCCATCGTGCTGAATCACGCGAAGAAACACTCGAACACCTTCTCCGTATGGCGTGCGGCCTCCCCATTCTGCCCGTTACCGACTTTGACCTCGTGGACAAGATTCTCTTCGCTGCAGAAAAGTACGACATGCCCGGCCCTATGTCGATCCTCCGTCTGCTTGTCATGACGCCCGCACTCGCAAATCAGCCCTTCCGCTTGTATACCGTCGCTTGCAGGTATAACTGGGAAGACGAGGCACGCTCGGCGTCGACCCAGACTCTAACTCATTATCTCCATGACCCTCTCTTGCGTCCTGCCCTGGAGCGTCTGTCGACCGGCGCATTGCTAAAACTATTTGACCTCCACAACTCGCGGAAAGTTCTGTGCGCGCTATCGCTCTCTATCTCTTGTCGTCCGAAGCTGACTGCTGCTCCAGCCTGCGAGAACGACTTAACAAAACGCCTTTCGTGGCTTCCGACCCGATGCATGTGACGAGCTGTGGCCACTGCCAGTCGACGATCGACTACCACACCTGGCGAGAGCTGAAGGCACGCATCATTCACGAAATCGAGATGCGCCCTCTGGGGGATACCATTATCGATAACGGACTGTCTGAGTGGCCAGAAGCCAAGGCGTGCTGGGCTGCTCGATGCTCCAATCGTGCGATCCAGTGTGGACGGCATTTATATGACCAGGAACCTACAGTGCGCATCATCCGCGAGAGCATTGAGGAGCTTCCCAAGTCGATATAGCATCTGGCTTGCTGTGTAGGTAGCGTACCGAGTAGCGTTGTGTAGCGAATAGTAATGTGTAAGCAATGAATCATCAGATACAATGGCCACGAGCACGTGGTTTGACGTGTAGTGTAGCATATGATGGGATCAAATGGTAATTAGAGCCACCGCCGGTCTTTCTTTCTTGACCACCACCATCTGCTTTCATGAGCCCGCGTACGTCCTCGAAACGCAAACGCTCCTCGGGCGCGACGCGGAGCAGCCAAGACGACGTCCCTGTCATCATCTCGAGTACGCCCCCTCCCGCCGTTCCTGCCAAGAAGCCGAGACGCCCCGCCACTGTCCGCGACGAGGTCATCGAGATCTCCTCGGACGAGGAAGACACGCGACCACGAAAAATCGGCCGAAATAATCCGGACCAACGCTCGCAGCTGCAGCAGGAAATATGTGCTCTGAAGAGCAAGTGCGCGAAGCTGGAGCGGGTGCAGAGCGAGCTCGAGGATGCGCGGAAAGAGATTGCTCAGCTGAAGCGGCCGGGAAAGATCATCTTGGTGCGTCATTCTCGCCGTCCTGTATAGTGCATCCTCACTTTGAGTCCGTCATTTAGGACGCAATCAATCTTGACGATCACATCTGTTGCGAAGTGGGTCCGCTTTCTGATCGCACACGGTGCAGTTCTCACCCAGTCCCCAGATCTGTTCAACAACGATGTGGAAGCCATATATGTATGGACTGCCTTGCACCTCGCGCATGTCGTATACTAATCAGCCTCCAGTTTGAACGGCTGCGGTCACACTTTCTGCCTCGATTGTTTAGTGGAGTGGCTGAGTGAGTCCGACAGACGCGTCGCCGGGTTGGCTTTGACATCTGTGTTCAGGTACCTGCCTCGCGCAACACATGAACACGCATCCGCACGAGCGTCCTGGCGTCCCTAACCTGCCACCAGCCTTCGTGTACGACCCGAGAAACCCCGTCGTAGCTGCGATGGTTGCCCAGCACCACCAGACTTCTCAGCCCCAATACACATGCCCGAGTTGTCGAAAGGCCATGAAGTCGAAGCCGACGGAAGACTTTGCGCTGAAAGCGCTCATTCACACACTAGCTGCTGCTATCGGGCAGTCGGACCCCAAGGAGGCCCGCCGTCGAGGCAAAGGCCGTGCGGTGGCCTCCAAGGGTCCCTTCGACTCTTTCTTTGGCAAGGAGTGATGAAATACATTATTATTGCATACATACATAATTATGATACATTGTATGGTATAAATACAGACCACCTATATACGAGAAACAATCACCGTTTCTTTGCTTTCGGCTTGGGAACGGGCAGCTTCGGCTTGGCGCGTTTCGCGGATGCAGAGAGCTGGGCATCCTCGCTGGCCTTCCTCTTCAGGCTCGGACGACGGGACGACGACCGCGACGAGCTCTCGGCGTCGCCCATGGTGGACATCGACAGCGAGGATTGGCCGGGACTGGGTCGGACAGACGCATGCGCGGCCGACGAGCGGGACACGACCGACAGTGCCGGCGACACCCGCCTTGCGGACGGATTCGGGATCTTGGAGCCACTCGCGGCAGCAGCAGCAGCTGGGATCATCCCAGCCAGGCCGTCGGCTGCCTTGGGGCGGGTGATAGGAGCCGGATCAGGCTCGACGCGCGACTCTCGGAAGTCGCGCATGAAGACGCTGTCGACGGACAAGCTGTCCTCGAACGTGCGCAGATTCGCCTGGATCCTCGGATCGTGCTCGGTCGTGATGCGGTCTCCGGTGATGTGGGCGCCGAAGAACTCGAGCGACAGCGAGCCCGAGTTCTTCACTGCGGGGTGGCCCTCGTCCTCGGCGGGGGGCTCGCCGATGTGCTCGGTCCACTCCCACGGCCGGTTCATCACCGGCGCGTCGGGCACCAGTGCACCCGACGCATCGGGATATGCCGTGGCAAGATGGGATACAATCGCCGTCGGCGCTAGGTGTCGCAGCAGAGCCTGGATCTGGTTTCTGTACTGCCGCGGGAAGTCGGGCGGGATATCCGAGGGCAGAACGTGTGGCGAGTAGCAGAAGGGATCGAACGCGTCGGATGGCTTCGCGTTCTGAGCAAGTTCTGGGTGGAGGTGAGAACCAGCGAGGATTGTCAGCGGCGGCTACAGTACTCACCATCAAGCAGGTAGTAGAGCGTGTCAATGAGCAGAGAGTATGCTCCCAAATCGAGCAGTGGACCACTTCCGTGGAGCTAAGAAGTGCGTTCACGATCTTACAACCTGAAGCATGAGATTGATACATACTATCACCAATTTGAGGATTGTCCCGGAAAGCCCGACACTCAGCTCCTTGATCTTTGGCGTCCAGGAGAAGTGGAAACCAAGATGAAACTGCAGGAAGCGCGAAAGAGAAATGGCCACCTGCGTCAGCTCGGGGCTGTCTTCATCCTGGCTGAGACAGCGTTCGATTTCGGCAAACTTATCGTGCAAGACCTGGAAGAAGTTTCCCTGGATTGTGGCGTCGAGCGCGGGAAGCTGAGCGCCCGGTGACCGGAGCGGCTCTGCGACGTAGGCGATAACGCGCAGTAGTTCTCCGGCCCGCTCGAAACTCTCGCTAAGTGATTTTGTGGTCGGGTCTTGCAACAGCCCGGTGACCGTCTTCAGTCCGTTATTGATGAACTGGGAGAAGCTCAGTTCAGCCCGTAGAATGGAGTAAAAAGGAATGACGCGCCTTCGCAGCGACAGCACCTTCGGTGCCTCTAGCCATCTGGGCTACAAAATAGGCCTCCTCAGAAGACATCTGATGGTGGAAGATCACCAAAATAAGCTTGTCGAGATTCGCCTGTGTGATGGCTCGCGTTCCCTCGCACGAGAGAGCTCGGCCCATCTGCCTGAGAAGAAACTGGAGTTGGATCGACGTAGCAGCCAGCTTCCACGGACTGAGCATGCTGGTGACGTCCGGCCAGCTCGACAGCTCCGCTGTATCGGCTGAAGGATGCGAGATAAGCTTCGGTACATTGATGAGCGACGGGAGACGGCTCACCGTCCATCGAATCCGAGAGCAGCACCCTCAATGCACTCATAACCGACTTGGCCCGGTGTTCATCGTTTTGCCCGTCGGCCAGGGATTGCTCGAACTGTTCCCTGATGGCATCGAGATTGCGGAAAGCCCCCTGCCGGAAGGCCTCGTGCCTGGACAACGCGAGCCTCAGCGACTCGACGTCCTTCTTCAGGCTCCGATGCAGGTTGATGTTATTCTCCAACGCGACGAACAAAGGGATGCTCGCGACCAATTCCAGGAAGTAAGGCTCTTGGTACACCGCCTGGCGCCTGGTCTGTATCCGCTGGAAGTCGAGAATGTCCAGCTGGCCGGGATTTTCCTCCTGCAGGAGGAGCTGTTGGAAAAGAGAATTGACGGAACGCAAGAGCACTTGTCGATTCAATCCTTCCTCGGCGGTGGCTGCAGAAGCTGCCAGCTGCCAGGACGGGTACACCAGTCCTCGTAGGATGGTGGTCGTCTGCAGCGCACCGTGGACAGACAGGTGCAGGAACACGACATTGAGGATATCCCAGGTGTCTTCGTCGAACGTCGGAATTTCGTTCTTGCCGGGTCCCAGTAGCCATTGGAGGACTTGGTCATCGAGTCCCTTCGGCACGTGCTGGTCTACGTGAGTGAGGAAGTGGCCATATCTGACGGCGCACTCGCGCCGCTTGTCCGGGTCGCCGACGATGAGCGGGATTTGTCGGATGCAGGCCACGGTGTTATCCCAGACTTTCCAAGCCCAGTGCGTCGACGTGCGGTATTTCATCCAGAGATTGCTGGCCAGATCAGCCGCAGAGTTTTCGGCAGCGTCGTTGACGAGAAGCAGGATGTCAGGAAGGACGTCTGGAACGCAGTCGCCATCCCGTGGATCTGAGAACGGCCGGAGTGCCTGAGACTGTGAGAGACTTGGAGGACGGTGGTATTGCTGAGACATACCTGAGTGAGAGACCCAAAGTCGGCTATGATGCTATCGCGGGCTTCTTGATCGAGATAGCGGTCGTTGTCCATCTCCAGCAGCAGATTCAACAGCGCCCGGAACTCTCCACTGCCTGCTTTCTTCCAGCGCTGATGTGCCGAATACAAAGCGTCGACGATCCTCGGAGATGCATTCATACAATTCCAGATGCAAATGAACTGGCGCAGCGTGTCGATCACGGCAGTGAGCAGATCAGCCGTTGCCGCGTGTTCCAGTGCACAGATGATGAGCTAATAGACGTCACGTCAATTCGTACACGGGCCAGCGACAGCGCCATCGCTTACCTCGAGTGCCGAATGAAAGCACTTGGTCCGAGTCATAAGCTCGATGCAAACGGAAAACCAGTTGACCAGTGCCGGTTGCGTCGTTCGTTGATGATTCTGGGACACTCTAGGAGGAGACTCTGGGTGAGAAGACAAGGTAGAGCCAAAGAGGGCACTCACTCGACCAAGCGTCTTTGCACGATGCTCAGCAGCCACTGACGAAACACTCGCGATTGTTCGAACCGGGGCGCCAACAGCAAGCTCGGGCACTGCAGAAGCAAGTCCGACACAGTGATAGGGAAATTCGGCGGCATGTCTTGCCAACAAATGAGACTGACAGCACCCACAAGAATAGCAGCCGTGGAACGCACCATTATTGAACAGATCTGGCAACAGCGCCCTGATCTCTTTGCGTATTTGACGTTCATGCACGTCTTCGGGCGTCTCTCTCACGCGCGGTCCGTACAGAATAACTTTGCGCTGGGAAGTCAGAGACGAAGTGGAGTGATGGATCGGGATACAGCGAAGGAAATCACGGTGTCGTGTGCCTTCAACCTGTTCAGGCGAGTCAGCTTGTGATCACGAGCCAACAGGAGCCTTACGTCCGTCAACAACAGTCCCGGCTCACCACGAGCAACAAGACGCTGGACGTAGTTCGCGTAAGAAAAGACGTCCTCTTTCACGAGCTTGCCGTAGAGATTGACGATCGGACCCAGGTTCTGCGCATCACGTGCCACATCTGACGCGTCTAGCCAGTCAAACAACTGGTCTTGGATCAGCTCATCGGGGCCGGCAAAGTCGCGTCTCGTAGCCCGGTCTCCGATTTTATTCCTCCAGTTGCGGATAATGGTCACAGCGGCAAACGGCCGGTGGTCCCCAAACTGCAGTGGAGTCACACTCCACGTCAGCAGCATTTGTAGCTTCTCGACGAAAGCAGCGTCGTCTGTGAGATCCGTCGAGAAGTACGCAACTGCGTCCATATCCGTCTTGCTCGATATCGAGTTGAGGAGCTGAACGAACGGTCAGTTTCCATCGACGTGCTCAACATGCAACCACTGACCTGAACATCCGAAACGACGGTCCTCAATCGCGCAGAGACATTGGAGGGAAGATTGATAAAGAGCATGGCCTCGTTCCTCCGTTTGATATCCTCCAAATTCTCTTGCAGAAGTTGGAAGATTTGCTGCGAATTCTGTATCGCATGGGCTTCGGTGTGATAGTCCATCACGTCCTCACACAGAACATCCGACAGGAGCTGGCTGTGCGTCAGCCACATTGAAGGGCTCACAAAGGCATCAGGCAGCGACAGGCAAAGCCGCTGAATAGCGTCAGTGGACGCTGATCTGTTGTACTGGTACCATCTACCTGCAGTACGATCTTGAGCAGAACCTCGGTGTTTCCCAGAAAATCGTGCATCGAGCTCACGTGGATCTAGAAATTCGAAATTAGTCAGTTCGGAATTGATACAGGCCGTGAAGGATCAAGACCTCGTTCAACTTTGCGAGACAAGCGTCGATCAGAGGCCGGGCCAGAGCCCGGTTCTTCAGGATCGCATCCAGATATTCGTCCGTCAGTCTCACGAGAAAAGCGATCTGCGCCAGATTCGACACGCTCATTTGCTGCACAAGCCAGACCAAGAAAGTCCGACTGTCTAGCAGACCTTCCGAGTACGAGGGCCGCAGAAGATCGATCCTGCTCCCAGTCAGCTGGCGTCTGTGTGCGATGAGAGCACTACTGACGTGTATACGAAACGGCCGATCCATTTGTCCCGTCCCTCTTGCTCAGCAAGCACCCCTTTGAATGTTTGCTTTATGTTCAGACCTGGCCGGGGTGCGCTGGGCAGAGCGATCTCCGTGAGCTGCTTCTTCAAATGCCCAGTCATGACGTTGGTCCATTCGATGCTGTACTGGGTCGGATCGTATGATGGCTTGTTGCGGAGACCTGCCTGTGCAGAGTGTAAGCGACAGAACAATCGGAGATACCCAGATAGAGCCGACCGTTTCTGCCGTACCGAGCACTCGCAGAAACCAAATGGCTCTGTGTGTCGCGACGTGGTTTCTCTGCAAGAGATCAAACAGCTCAGGCGGCTTGACACCTCCTGGGACGCTCTTGCCCAGTTTATGGAGTGGGAAGTTATTGTTCCCCAAGTCACTTATCCACTGATTGCGTTTGCTGTCGTTGAGAAAGACGCGCGACGGCATGCGGAATGTGGACTGTCTGTAGACCGCCATTGGATTAGCCCCAATTGACTATTGTGTTCAGGGCACGTACGGAATTGGCGGCAGACAGCTCGCCCTGCGGGAAAACAACTCGTTCATGAGCTCCTCCAACTTCGACAGTGCAGAGACAGTGCGGATCCCCTCATGAACAACCTCCTTCGCGCTGAATCGGTCGACCTGTCAATGTTCGGTCAAGCCCCGATGCACCACGGCGAGGAGCGTCTCGAGATGTACCGTGACGGGCGGAGGGAGTGTGTATCCATTTCTGACGTTCTCTGCGGTCAACACGTCTTCATCTTTGCCTGGTCGGGGTGGGTAGAATCCCGTGTACCCTAAGAGCCCGATCAGTGGTGACGCAGCGGTAAGCCCGGGATGCTGACCCAAGTCCCCCGATTCGTGAGCTTTGGGAAGCCAGGCCGGAGGCTTGGACTCGTAGAGAGGAAGAGCAGGGCGCTGGTCCCGCATAGGCGAGCGCGCAACGGGTCACGGTGTTAGAAGGTGCAGTAAGTGTGTAAGGCTGCTGGTTTTGAGTGACTGATAGTAATACCCAAGTATGTCCACGGATCAATCAACTGACTATCATGACAGGAGCGCTCCTTCAACAAACAACGATGTCCTCAGCAACAGCGCACTCGTTCAACAAGGTGTGCTGCCCACGCCTCGCTCCGCCCCTGCAGAGGCATGGCTGACATGCTGTCAGATCCTCAGCCAGCCGACCAAGACCTCAAAATCGAGGGCGACCGGCGATGTGGAGGACAGCATCAAGAAACTGCGCAGGATGATCCTGGTCGAAGGGATCCCGTCCGTCGCTGTGAGCGTGCCGCATGTTCGCGCCATTTTCAAATCCTGATTCTTGGCACCCAGGACCCGACGTTGCGCCCAAGAATATGGAAAATCCTGCTTCGCGTGAACAGTCTTTCATCGGAGATGTTCCTGCAATATGTATCACGCGGCCCGTGCGAGGTCCGAGAAAAAATCAGAAACGACACGTTCCGGTGTGTTTATTCGACGCGTCGCGGCGGCTTTGCGATGGCTGATAATTGTCCAGCACACTTGCGACCGATAAAGGATTCAAGGAGCGCGTGAGGGAGGATATGCTCATTCGACTGCTCGACGCTTTTGTGTGGAAGAATCACGGTGGGTGTTCCCCTTGAACGATTCTGCCAGGTCACTGAAGAGTGCTCTAGACAGGCAAGAGACGCATCATCTGGGTTTTACATATGTCCAAGGAATGAACGTGCTGGCCGCGCCATTCCTCTATACTATGCCTTCCGAAGTGGAGGCTTTCTACTCTTTCTCCAAATTTATCGAAGAAAGCTGTCCCCTGTATGTACAACCGACTCTGGAAGGCGTGCATCGTGGGTTGAAGGTTCGTTGCAGCTTTTTGTTCCTTGACGACCGCTGACTTTCAACAGTTACTGGATCGATGCCTGAAGATCGTTGATCCGGAGCTGTTCGCCCATCTCCGCTCAAAGAATCTTTCCGCAGAAATCTATGCTTTCCCTTGTGCGCTATCTTTTTTGCCAATGCTTTGCCCTGACTGCGTTCAGCTGTCCTCACATTATGTGCATGTACGCCGCCACTGGACCAAGTTCTCCAGCTCTGGGATTTCCTGCTCGCTTTTGGCGTTCATTTGAACGTTCTCTGCGTGATCGCGCAATTGCTGCTGATGCGAGACGAAGTGATGAGCTCCTCAAGGTATTTCAGACACTATGTGGAGAAGCCAAACTAAAGTAACCTTGCAGTCCCATGCGTCTTCTTCGAACATTCCCTCCGCTGGAGGCTCTACCAGTCATCGGTATCGCAGTGACGCTAGTCCGCGACCTTCCTGCTCCCCTGTACGATGAACTCGTCCGACACCCATACGAAGTTTCGGCCTAAAGACGGACCCATTTCTCTGTAGCAACGACATATGTATCGACACAACCAGGATGTATGTACTTGTGTGTACAATCTACGGGTGCGGGACACCCCATACTCTATGTGCTAGCAAGCGCAGCAGTGCCGCTGGGCCAGGCGTCTCGTGAACACAGAGTACACCAGATCCATGTCCATCTTCTAGCTTCGACTCCGTCTCGACTTGGGCAGGTAACGCTGTTGACTCGAGCATGCGATGGTTCGTTCCAAGTTTTTCCAACTCGGCTTGAGTCTCGGCTCGGTTGGCACCCGGTGCATAGGCGCTAGCGTCTTCTCTGCGATCCACGACCTAATGGTGCTTCCCTCAGCAGTTGCGCTCAGGACTTGTGCACGAAGACGAACCAAGAAACCGCGCGTTAGTTCACCGGTTCTGGGCGAGAATGTCAGAAAGATCAAGGCCGATCGAGAAGTGAAGCACCTTTCGATATCGAAGAGTCGTCGACACGCTTTCCAATTGGCGCCCAACCTATTCGGCATCCCATCTGGGACGGGCGGGTTCTCAATCGCACACCAAACAGCAACAATATCGTGCAGCTCCATCGCATCTTTCCCGAATTCGAGCATGATCTTCCGCGTTTGTCGAAGGAACGCCGAGGTGAAATGAACAACAGGGGATACTGGCATTTGGGTAGGGTCTTCGAATTGTTGATCCACTTGCTCGGCGTAGAATGGGAAGGGCAGTTCGTGCGGAGTGGTGATATCCAGGGGAAGCAACAGGAACCGATCCAAGGGAAGAAGAAGATCGTCTGTCTCCTTGCCTTCGACGAGAAGATTCTTCACAGCGAAGGGGTCTGCGAAGAAATTGACTGTAGCCGGAGTTTCAATCAATCATCCGTTGGAAGCAGGCAGCCGAACGAGCACACATTCTGCGACGGGTGTGGTGTTTCCTGGCACATCCAGAGCCCCGCCCATGCAGACGATCCGCCCGATTCTGTCTCGAATCGTGGCGCCATATCTGGACATCAGACACGAGAGATCAGTTAGAGGCCCTAGGGCCAGGAATGTGACTGTTCGAGGTGGCCGGCTTTCAATCAGCTCTGCAGCTACATCCACGCCAGGTCGATCTGTGACAGTGAGATACGACTGCTGAGAAGCCGCGTACTCAGGATCCAGATCCAACTCTGGGTGACGCTTTGTGATATCGCCTAATCCATCTCTGAAGATCATGACAGGTTGTGCTCTGAGACTAGTGAGACAGACTCGCCTTCCATGGAAATATTGTGCGCTGTGTATCTCGCCTTCCAATGGACCGGCGCTCCCCCGCGCTAGGAAGGGCTTCGAGGCGGCGGAGAAGTTGGGAAACCGCGCAGCGTCCGCAGGCAATCGTTCGATATGCCGAGAAATGGCCTGATAAGCTTTCAAAATGTTGAGACTATAATCAATCTGGATGAATGTCGCAGATTCAGAGGGATCTCAGCCGTACTGTGAGCTCTCGATGTCAGTGTTACCTGGCCGGATGTTGAGTGTGTCGTATAGTTACAAGCGGATGACAGTACCGAAACTTGTAATAAAACCAAGGATTTCCAGCTCCGGGGAAGCAATTGCCAGCAGTCTGTGACAGTTGTCGAGCGTGTTCACAAGATTTCCAGAGACCTGGTATCGATGCATACATAGCTACGATGTCGTCCACTCCCGGGTCGGTTGAGACTACTCCGTTTAAACCCTTTTACGCACGAGAGAGCTGAAGCACTCACTTATGACTGGATTTCTGACAACCATGGATTCGGCCTTAGTCGAGGTAGAGTGCAAAATCGGTGTGGCATGGGAGATAAGATGAAATCATCACATAATCTAATCATACGTTCCCTGATCAGCCCGATAAGCCCGATTTAACGCAATCTACATGACACGTACATCGGCATTACTTAGCAGTGGGTCGTGCAAGACCAATCGTACATTCAACGACTTCGTGCAACCCGTAGCGTCCTCTCGAAATCTCAGCCTCCTGTTTTTGATTTCCTCTGACTGGCATACGATCGCAGATCATATCCATCTTATATGAGGTCCATAATTTGTTGAATAGTGGTCACGATAAATAAACCGATAAGATTAGACAAGATGAGATGTTCGGCATGCGTCAATCACTGATCCATGGTGCGAACTGGGCAGTTTTTGTAAGCGGCTTTGTAAGCTCTGCTTGGAAGGCTCAACGCGTCGATCGAAAAGTTCGCCTCACAGCTCACGACGATGTCCGAATCTCTGCGTTTCCTTGGTTCCTTGAAGGGCCACAAGGGTTGGGTCACCGCCATCGCCACTTCCTCCGAGACCCCCGATGTTATTCTCTCCGCGTCTCGTGGTAAATTTCTGCGTTTTTGGCCCTCCTCAAGCACTTCTCACCACGGCGCACAGACAAGACCATCATCGTCTGGCAGCTGACCCGCGATGAGACCGGCTACGGCTCCCCCAAAAGAATCCTGCACGGCCACAACCATTTCGTGTCCGACGTCGTTATCTCCTCCGACGGCCAATTCGCTCTCTCCTCGTCCTGGGACCACACCCTCCGTCTCTGGGATCTCAACACCGGTGCCACGACACGTCGTTTCGTCGGCCACACCTCCGACGTTCTCTCTGTCAGCTTCAGCGCCGACAACCGTCAAATCGTTTCTGGTTCCCGTGACCGAACCATCAAGCTGTGGAACACGCTCGGCGAGTGCAAGTATGACATCAAGGAGGATGGTCACTCTGAGTGGTACGTGTGCTACATGGCAAATTTTGACTGTTATTCATCATCCGTTCTAGGGTTTCTTGCGTGCGCTTCAGCCCGAACGTCATGAACCCGGTGATCGTGTCCTGCGGTTGGGACAAGGTTGTCAAGGTTAGTTTCTCTTCCAAACTCTGGAGTGATGCTATACCATATATATTTGCTACTTCAGAGGGCAGAGGCCCTATGAGACTACTTTTCCACCAAGATCTCTGACTTTCTACTTGCGTCTCCCCTGGCATTGCAACCCATGCTGAAATATTCTCAGGTTTGGGAGCTCTCGAAGTTCAAGCTGAAGACCAACCACTACGGCCACACCGGATACATCAACACAATCTCTGTCTCGCCCGATGGTTCGCTTGCTGCCTCCGGTGGCAAGGACGGAATCACCATGCTCTGGGACCTTAACGAGGGCAAGCACCTCTACTCCCTCGAGGCTGGTGACATCGTCAACGCCCTTGTCTTCTCGCCTAACCGGTACTGGCTATGCGCTGCTACCGCCAGCTGCGTGAAGATCTTCGATCTTGAGAGCAAGTGCGTTATGATCAAGTGTCCGTTCCGGGATGTATGATTGACACGCTCTATAGGTCTATTGTTGACGAGCTCAAGCCCACCTTCACTGAGGCCTCTGAGGAGGGCCGGGAACCCGAGTGTGTGTCGATTGCCTGGTCCGCAGATGGCCAGACCCTGTTTGCTGGCTTCACGGACAACCACATCCGTGTCTGGACCGTCTCGTCATAAAAGGTATCGGTGCATGTGCATTAGGGAGTTGATTTATGTTGCCTTTCATTCGTACCTGCCACAATACACAAAAAACATTTACTCCAATTGCGTCTGCTGAGTGATAATCCACAATGGGACACCGCTGTTCACCCCGGTGCTGGAACGGAGCTCCATCAGCCTTCCTTCTTCGCAGTTGGAGTGCTAGTACATAGTACAGCAGTCGTTCACTACGTACTTCGATGCCAAATTGTTCAGCACGCATCCAAGTGCCAGTGAGGGTGATAGTTAGAGCGCCTTTTTGCGCGTTGAGCCTGAGGCTACTGCGGTGCTTCCGCTTCCTCGATATTGCGCTTGCGTTCAGAGTAGTCATATCGATCCAGGCCGCCAAAGTCGATCTTCATGCCCAAGCATGTCATGTTGAACTGAAGCTCGCATAGATGAGACACTCGAGCACGCCAGCTGTCGCCACTGCTCGCACTGGGATGGGTTGCACGTCCAAGTGATAGAGAGACCAAAGACGCACGTTGCGGTTCCGTACACATCTCCCTCTTGGCTCACCAGTCGCGCACACTGGTCAGTGTTGGACTGCTTGTCGTATATCCAAACAGTCAGTCCACTGTAGATCTCCTGCAGCCCATTGAGGTCGACCAGTCTATTCGGTGGATTGTAGCGCGACGTCCCGGCAGGTAAACTGGGCGCGTCTCGGATGTCCACATCGTTGAGAAGACGCAGTGCTCGAATGTTCGAAATATCGCGCACAAGAGCGCGCTCTGGTTCAGAGACGGCGTCGAGGATTTTGATGATCGGTGATTTGAGACGAGAATCCTCCTCTTCATCGGAGGAGTCGGCTTCAGCTTCAGGAGTGTCCTCATTCATCTTCACGTCCGCGGGTTGTACCGATTCGAGGAAATCTTTCTCCTCTGAAGCCAACCGTGCGCAAAATGCTTGCCAGGCGTCTGGATCCGACCAGTCAGTGCGCAAAAGCACACCGATTTGCGGGCCGTCTGTGAGCGTAGCATCGAATGGATCGTCCTCTTCAAGCAAATCATCCTCCTGCCAGTGTTGTGCACAAATGAGACTGATGTCATACAGACTGGCAAACGATCGATTTCGAGACTGACGTTCAGCGCGCCTTCGATGCTATGAGAAGCCCCTGCCATGAACCCGGTCCAAAACTCATTGAGGACGCGCAAACACCATTGCCGACGCCCTGCGCCCGGAAATTGGACTTTGGTGGGCACATATCGACGCTACATAGCATCGGTCCAGGCTGTATAGCTTAAGATGGACCTAGCGAACCGACAATAGAGCGAGATACTCTTGCTTCATTCTCTTGATGTGGAGTGGAGGTGGAACAGGTCTGACTGTTGAGAATTTACGCGGCCAAACAGAAACATATAACGCGAAGAGTGCGTCAAGTCACACGACCACCAGTTGGCTTGGAGTTTGTGCGATCTCCTATGTAGAGGATAACTTATATTACTTTTACACAACAGATGTTCGTGAACCAGCGAGACGATCCACAGCCTGACATGATGAGCAAGAGATATAACCAGGCAACCGATACTGGCACTCACGTTCCTGATATATGGTAACGAAAGAGCTGTCCCGAGGAAGGGGACCTGGCGAAGGAATGTTACAATAACAGGGAAGAAGTCCCTGGGACGTTGTGAGAAAGCGTTAGCAGTTAGAATGATTTTGAGCGCACCCAAACAGATTCAAAAACCCAAATGTTTCGATGATCATCCCAACAAAAGGCCATTTCAAAAACACGAGCACAATCCCACCCACAAAGCAGACCGTTCCCCTAATCTTTTGCTTACGAGCGAAGAAGTAAAACGTCTTCTTAGGGCCAATGATGAGCGTGATTCCAGAGACGAAGAGAATCTGGAAATGTATTTGTTTGAGACCAGGAAGCCATAGAGTGGATGCCAAGGTACATTTCCAAGCGCCAGAAGAGCTCCGTCGAAAAACATCATGACGCCCAAGAGCATGAAGAGCCCGCCGAAGGTGGTCAATGCCACGCCGATTTCTACGGGACATCAGTCGGTATGCACCAGCAATATCACTACAATGAAACTTACTCTGTCCGTCTGACAGCCACATTGTTTCGTTTCAGTAAGGGTATCAGGGAGAGAGATGAGGTGGAAGGTGAGCAGGCTGTTACTAGAACACGTCCGTGTCACACGCTGGCCGCAAGTTGCCGACATGTGCTGTTTTGGCATCTGAGACCAAGCTCACGTGCTTAGACTCAGGAAATGCATGCAGTAATCTGCGCCATGGCTTGTATAAAACTCAGAAATGAAGCGTTTATGGCTCATTATCTTACTCCTCAGGCTCGAAAGCCTTGGTTCCATTGCGCCAGGCTCTGCTGAGCTTCAGTGGAATATTGGCTCTGACCATCAGGCATCAATACATCACTGCCTGTGACATCACAATAAACACTCGGACCACATCCGTCTTGTTCACTTCAACCAGTGCATCTTCATTGAACGATGGCACCAAAGCACCGTGCACCTCTTTCACGCGCACACTCTAGGACAGGGTCGTCTACAAAGCTTGCGGCAGGCAATCTTCAGTTCACGACCCAGAAGAAGGTCCAAGTAAGTGGATTTTCGACTACAATCACTCCGATTCTCAGAGATCTTACAGCCCCGTGCGCCTCCGAAACAAGTTCACCAGCCGCAAACGAATGGCATGCCCAACAGACTTCTCAATTAAAGAACAAGACTCGGGGTTCCAATTTCCGCATCTCCAGCCCCAGTGTCGATGATGATGCCTCTGGAGAAGATTGGGTCTCCAGTGAAAGCGGGGCTGCAACACCAAACAGGTACGACGATGAAGACAGTGAAAGTGAAGAAGAAGTCCATACACGATGGAGAGGGCAGACGTCACACCAAGTACCTACCCCAAAGATGGGCAAACCTCAGGAGTTGCCGCGAGTGGCCACGGCACGTGCTGGGGATTTCGACGCTGCAGGACCGACTCTTGCCAAGCCAGCAACGACTGCCGCGGTCGAAGATAAGGCGTTGAGCTCTCCCCCTACTCCGGACAGTGCAAGAACGCCCACGACAGCGCCTCCGTCTCCTTCATCACGGCGATATTCGCAACCATCAGTTTCTAAGCCGCACTCCAGACCACTTTCAACGCACTCTATGTACAAAACCGAATTGCGGCCGCATCCTCTTATCCGTGGGCAGTCATTTGGTCAACCTGGAAATGCCGCCAAACCGTCGCCATTGCAGCCTATCGCTGTGACACTGGATGTCAACGACATCCATGTAACCGCTTCCCCCACAGTGAGCGAGGGGATGCCTCGTTCCTTCTCGCCACCAGCGTCGCCTCATCTAGAGAAGGGACGTCGTTCCTCAATCTCCTCCACACGTTCGGCGATGACCGTGAATTCGCACGGTGTAGGACACCGGGCACAGGACAACCCGTCGCGTAATCGAACCTTTTCGACGCTTTCCTCGGCTTCGCTCTCATCGCTCCCGTTCGGACATTTTCATCAGCCGTCTGCCACTTTCTCGCTCACCCATCTCCCAACGCATTCACGGCCTCCTCCCCATGTAGTCATGTTCCCTTCGTCGGATCCAAAAATGCCTTTGGAGAAGATCCATCCCTTGTTGCCACCACCCTATGTCGCCAATCATCTGGCAATCTGTTCTCAGCGTGTGCCAGTTGCAGACGCTTTTGCTCGAACGGTAAAAGCGAGATTAGAATTGGTAGCCTCTAAATAGGCGCATGTAGTCATTTGCGCGTGTATATTACTCGTAACAGTATTGAAAGGACTTTTTCACTCATGGAAGCGCATCAGACTTGATCAAGCCCGGATCAAACACATCCCTCCTCTCCCTCTCTTCACTGCGCCGACGTTCTCCATCCTTCGTTCAAAATGGAGCGTGTTCATTTTCAGCAAGAGCAGATGATCCCCGAGTTGAAAGACTTGGTGGAGAAAGGTCTTTTTACAAAAGAAGAGACGAGGTCGATTCTGAAAAAACGAACACAATTCGAGAGTGCTTTGGTCCGTCGCGTGGCCAAGAAGTCGGATTTTCTGCGGTACTTGGAGTATGAGATGGGACTAGAGGCGTTGAGGAGGCGGAGGTTGCAAAGGCTCAGTGCGTCTTAGACTATTTACACTCCACAATCCTAATGAGACTTTGAAGAAGTGCAACCAAAATCGAGTATCTCCGACTACGCGCTGGTCCGGCGTCAGTTTCATGTCTTCGAGCGCGCGCTGAAGCGATTCAAATCTGACATTGGCCTTTGGGTGCAATACATTCAGCTTGCGCAGCGAGAAGGCGCTCATACCCTTGCCTCGCGTGTCACGGCGCGAGCAATTCAACTACATCCGACAGTCGGCTCACTATATGTGCTCGCGGCAGAATTAGAGATGGAAAGAGGATCACCCAGTGCAGCACGCAGTATGCTGCAACGAGGCACGCGAGTGTGCCGCGGAAAAGACGGGGTTGAGGTATGGATCGGATGGGTGCGCATGGAGATGCGTTTTGTCGAGGCGTTGAGGCGGCGATGGAACGTGCTTGGTCTAGAGGACGGGGGACAGGGGACTGCTGCGGAGATGCCAATGGAAGAGAGGGAGCACGTGGGTCCCGAAACGGAGCATGCGGCAGAAGCAGTCGGTGCAGAATTGGCCCATGATTCTTCTAGACAGGCGCGCGCGGCTATCCTGAACGGGGAGATCGTGCGCGGTGTCATTGACAGTGCCGTAGAAGGTGTGTTCAGCCTAAACCAATGCGTCTGTCTAACAGATGATGCCCAGCTGTGACCACGACGGAGATGTTTGAGATGTTGATCGAAGCGACGCGTGAGACGAACGATGCCAGCAGCCCGATTGCCGGCCGATTGTTGGAGCAGGTGTACGAGCTGCTGCGGACCAAAAGACCATGCGATCCAACGACGCTCCGCTTGCTTGGCGACCGGTTTTTGCAAATCCTTGATACGCTGGAGGGTGAGGATCTCGTCGACCAGCTGCAGAAGACGAACGAGTCTTTGCTGGAGTTGTGTGGGCAATCATCCTTCCCAAAGGGCTCAGAAGCTCCCACAGAAAAATTGCTGGACCAGTATGGGCACTTCGCAGACACCGT